TAACCTCAATACTTAATAGTTTTCGAGATAATCGCATTTTAAAAATCAACTACATAATTCTGATTTAACCCAATTACTCCAGACAACAAAAGAAAATTATATTTGGTAAAAAATATATTTAATAAAGTTAATAGTAAACGAAATATTAAATAAAATAAATATATCATTGGGATAAGTAATAATGGGATTTGACAAAATAGCAGAATAATTGGATTTTACATCAAACATTTTACTTTGTATCAAATTAAAGTTGTAGCATTTGCAATTTCATTGATTCTTTGGTGTATATTGAAATCTCCTCGTATATGTAATATATTGAAATCCCCTCATATATGTTTGAAAAATCGAAGAGTATTTTTAATGCATTTCAGTTTCATACCGTACAAGTTAAAATACGCAAAATGTATTTTCAATTCTTTCTTAGGTCGGCCAAGTAATATAAAACCATTTTAGAGTTGTTTATTTATTTTCGCAGCTGCTTATGTTGCTCGATATTCTTTGATTTAAGCCGCCGATGTACTGCGTTTTCAAATTATTAATCTACGTCTTAATTTTCGTTGTGTTTTGTTTATTTCAGCGTTTTGTTTATTTTCAAGTTATTTTTAAGATAATTTCGTTATTCTTATTGGGTCGCTGTAGGCTCAGGTATGGATACAAATTCATCCGTCGAATTTGCAGTTTCTGTTCTATTTCTGTTTTTGGCCCCTTTTTATGGAAATATGTAGCAGTGAAAAGTAAATTAAGTAATTGTAAAGTATGTCTAGGTATAGAGGAGGTTAAAAAAGTATTTAAGAGATTTGTGTCGCCTGCAGCAATTCTGATGTTCCAGTTTGTGTCCAGTTGAAGTGCTTCTTCAATCTCGCTGTTCCTGCTTTGTTTCTGAAGCAGTTTTTTTAGTTCTAGTTATAGTTCCAGAATTCTAGTGTAAAACAGAGTGCAGTCCAGGTAACTTTTATGCAAATATTTAAAGTAGACTTTTTTTAATAATATAATTGCTTTCATTAAAATTTGAAGCATTTATAATAATTAATTAAGTAAAAAATTTTTAGGGTTTGACTTTAGCTGTCAATTTGTGTGTTCAGTTTTTTTTTAATTTATTGTTCACTTATGACAGCTCGCTTTATTACTTTTTGAATGTAGTTTGTTTTATTTTTAAAGAAGGTTAACCTCCATGCAATTTCGTAGTTTTGTAGCATCAGAGTTTGTAAACGGCTAGGACACATGTAAGTTTTTTTTTGTTATTCTTGTTCTCTGTAACTATTTATCTATATGTAAGTTTGTGAAATTATTTTTATAACTGTTTGTGATAAGACACAATAAATGTTAAATTTTATTTCTTAACATTTTGTCTATTTTTATTTTAATTTAATCCCTGTTTTTGAATAGTATCCCGTTATCGCTACAAAAATGTCACCCAGATATGTTTTGATTTTTTAATAATTATTTCTCTAGTTACAACTAGCTGTTGTAATGGTTATAATTAGGCACCTCAAAGTGGCGTCCTATATTAAATGACTAGAGGTGTTTCCTGTTTCTTTTTGTTTTCTTAGAATGTCATTCTGTCTCCGGCTTCCATATACCATGTAGCTTCGCCTATCTTCAAAAATTTTAAAGTGTTTGTTTGTCTTTGTGTAGTGTATTGTGATGTCCAATTTTATATTTATGACATTCTACTCTTGTCGGATAGGCCGCAATTTATTTAACTTTGGATACTAGCATAAATTGCCTGAAAATAGATGAATTTGTTTATCCAAAATAAACATAAAATAGGGCTAGTTAACTGGAAGGAATTATAATATACACATAAAGAGTTCAGATAACAATTGAGGACTTTACCTGATAAACTAAATTTTTTTGTTTAAGTATAGACTCAAAGTAAGGAGAAAATTCCAGTGGTCGGTTATAAACCATAGTTTAAAACAGCTTACACAGAAGTAAGAACTTCTTGTGTATAATAGTATATTTTTTATTAAAAAATAATTTTAAACAAAAATATTACAAATCTTTAAAACATTTTGGGTCCAATTGGACTATTGTTAGCAAAAAAACCTGAAAATATATTTCTACTTTAAAATGACAAAAAACATAATATAAAATTTTGACTGTTAAATTACATGTGGAATGTGGAAAATACTTTAAAAGTAGTTGAAACTATGTAGAAACCCTTATCTTACATAAAAATTATCGTTAATTTTAATATTTTAGTGACATTAGATCGATTTTATAAATTTTACCATGAAGGGAACATACATCTTCCCTTCTCGAAACAGGGGACAACTTTGCCCAACTCACAGAAACAGTCAAGTGATTAAGTCGGGGAGAATGTAAGGCTTCAAGATCAGACATTAAATTTATTCATGCAATTAACTTGCTTTTGTTGTCTAATAATTTTAAACAATTTTTGTACTCACTATCCTATTGCATTATTGTTTGAGTGGTCGCCAAAAAGCTACTCTCTGCTGTCTCGAGGACCTGTCAATTTTAACAAAATTTTGACATCCTCCCCGGTCTAATCATTTAGCTGTTTCTATTAGTTAGACAAAATTGTCCCCCACTTTGAGCGGGGAAACATTACAAAAGTCATATAAACTTTAAATTACGATATCTATAGATATCTGTTCTGGCCGTATGACCAACACAGCGTCATCATCACGTAGCACTACAACCCTGGGTGGGTCTTGGCTGACTGTACAACTTTTTCCAATTTGTTCGGTCTTCCATCAAGCTAGGATCAAATGAAATATTCATTTTCCGGAGATCTACTTGGATGTTATCTCTCCATTGCATTCTGGATGTCCGAGTGGTTCTTGCCTGTGGGAATCTCCTCCCATACCAGTTTTACAAGTCTTTCGTTATGCAGTCTGTGCACGTGGCCTGTCCATCTAAGTCGCTATGATTTAATTTCTTTGACAATATCGGCGTCGTTGTAGAGTGCTTTTAATTCGATATTGGTTGTGATCTTATACTGGTTTGCGGTGATGTCATGGTGAGGTCCGAAAATTTTTCGTTTAAAGCGTCTGAGCTTTTCTTCGTTGGCTTTGGTCATGGTCCACGTTTCGCATTTGTATGTTATTACAGGTGTGATGATGGATTTATAGATTGTGATCTTTGAACTTCTTGTGAGATTTTTTGATTTTATGAGCTTATCCAGCTGCTTCTGGTAAGTTGAGCTTCATTTTAAAAGACAGAAAAATCCCAATTCACTTAAAACGGAATCTATGACACTTATATATTACCAGTTGCAACTTATGGATTGGAAACTATGGCAATAACAAGAAAAATGGCAGAACAATTAAGAGTAACTCAACGGGCCATGGAGAGGGCCATGTTAAATATAAGCCTCAGAGACAAAATTCCTAACACCGAAATACGTCGAAGAACTAAAGTAACCGACATCATGGGAAAAATAGCGACATTAAGATGGCAATGGGTAGCACATGTAGCAAAACAAAACACCAACAGATGGTCTCATAAAGTGACATTCTGGAGACCTCGAGAAACAAAAAGAAGCGTGGGAAGACCTAAAAAGAGATGGATTGACGATATAACTGCTGTAGCTGGAAAGCAGTGGATGAGAATTGCAAAAGATAGGGAAGCGTGGAAGCAATTGGAGGAGGCCTATGTCCAACATTGGATATATGAAGGCCGAAGAAGAAGAAAAAAGAAGAGCTTATCCAGTGGAAATAGACAGCGCTTTTGCAAATTGGATTCTGTCTTTTATTATTTCAGTAACATCGTTGTCAGATGTGATTACGGCCCCAGATACTTAAAACGTTGTACTCTTTCGAAATTGTAGGTGTTGATATCACATTGTGTTCTATTCTGTCTCTTCGTGTCGTTCTATGTATACACATATATTTCGTCTTCTCTTCATTAATCTTCAGCCCTACTTCACTTATTGCTCCTTTCACCTTGTTGAAAATGTCTTTCGTGGATAGGATGTAGTCTCCAACGAGATCTATGTCATCTGCATATGCGAGTAACAGCTTAGGACCTTGAACCGATAGCAATTTTGTTTTTATTTCGGCCGACCTCATAGCATACCTTTAGATAGAAAGCCTTATGACTTTCTCTAATACAAGGCTAAAAAGTAGTGACGCATCACCCTGTTTAAGTCCACTGTTGATTTCAAAGCTGCCAGACAGTTTATTATTTACACGTACTTTAGATATTCCACCCTCCATACAGACTTTGGTCATCCAAATGAGCTTCTTTGGTATTGAGAACTCCGCCATAGGATTTCATACTTGGCTTCTTTCTATGCTATCATATACCTGTCAAAAGTTTATGAAAAGATTGTGTATGGATCTGTTATACTCCCATTTCTTTTCTAGATGTTGTCTCAGCGTGAATAGTTGCTCTATTGTTGATCTGTTTGCCCTAAACCCGGCTTGATATTCGCCTAGGACATTTTCAGCATAAGGGATTAGTCTACTAAGAATGATGTTTGAGAGAGTTTTATATGCCGTGTTTAGGAGTGAGATTTCTCTATAATTCGCGCATTTTGTTTTGTCCCCTTTTTTGTGGATGGGCACTATTATGTTTTCCTTCCATCGTGCTGGTATCCTTTCTTCTAACCATATATGCGTTATTAGCTGGTGGATTTGGCGATGTAGTGAGTAGTAGTCCCCATATTTCAGAAGTTCTGCTGGTATCTCGTCTTGTGATTTTTCAGCTTATTTAAGGCCTTTTGGGTTTCTTAAAAGGAGGGATTTTTGACGGTCAGAGCAAAAAATGTCTTGTACATTTAAAAGATTTATGATTTTACAACTTCATAAAAGTTACGCAACTTATATTATCACATAAAATAAAGCATAAGTCAAATTATCTATTCAATAATCAACAATTTTTATTTACGCTTTAAAGTTGTACCGCCGACAAATAAAATTCACCAGTAATTAATATTAATTATTTTTTTTAAAATATTGGTAATTATTAAAAGCAATATATTTTTAATTACTCAAAGACAGATAGTAAATTTAATTTAAGTATTTTATTAGGTAATCTAACCAAATGGTCAGAAGACGATAAAGGGAGAACGCATAATATTATATACGTTAGAGACCTATTGCAGTTGGTTATTCTCGTATACGAAGACCATTGTGATTGATATAATGGCAAATATAGCAATTATTAGTGGCATCCTAACAGGTATGTATAAATTAACTGTTTTGATTATTTAGATACATATTTTGTATAATTTTTACGTCTCAATTTTTTTCTATGTGCGATCTGTCTCCTTAATTAAATTTCTTTATATATATTTGTGTCTTGACTCCTTTCTCGATCGTCTTTAGGAAGTTACATATTGTAGTATTTTCTGCTCCTATAACGTTAAGAAATAATTTTATATTATTCAATTAAGGTTGATCTTTACCCTCGATTAATTTGTTTCTGATCCTAGAGATGGCTCTACTGCGGCATGCTACTGTGGTAAATTTTTTTACTTAATTGTAGATTTCTACATGACGACTCTGTAATATTTTCAAATCCTAACATAAATTGCAGTTTTCTGTTATTATATCAATTGGCTGAGTTGCCAAGTTGTGTAGACAGTAATTTTATCAAATATGCTATAACTTATATGGTTACTAGTAGACCAACTAAGCAAAGATATCTTATAACAACATCTTTATGTATAATACTTTACTGTTCTGCTATGTCAGTCGGAATATAATATACCAAATTAATTCATTTTTTTTTTTTTATTATGACTTTGGATTATTGATCCATTCAGCCACGGTATTATAATAAATACTGTTTGAAATTCATTCATTATCTAAACAATTTTACCGACAAAGAAATTATGTATGTTGCGGCTTTCTTTATGAGTATAGTATTACCATTAAATTCGTACATCATATTATATTACATTTTTGTTGATAGTTAAAAATTAAAAAATGATCTTATATTATGATTATGTAATATTTTAGCGGAAAATGACAAAAATGTTATTTAAATCTGTTTAATAATATCTATTACTATATGTCTTTATGGATTAATAAATTTTACTATGTCTTCTTCTTCGGTTATATTTATATTTCTTATTTCATGTTTCATTGTTCTGGCTTTATTGGTCTGTTTATTCTTATAATTTTTCTTTTAATAATTCTTAGTTTTTCTTCATCTTTTTTCGTAAGACACATTACTTCCGCTCCTTATGCTATCATCGGTCTAATTGCTGCTGTATGTATTTTTGTCTTTGTTTTTTTGCTGTTTTTTTTATTTTTAAGTAGTGGGTGATATTTCCAAAACACCCCGTTCTTCTCCCGCTTTGTGTGCTTGGTGGTCATACGTTGAATGTATGATTTGGAGTGGTTGATGCGTATTTAGTTATTACGGTTCTATTTGGTCCATTTAGTTCTTCAGTTTCCGTATTCGACAATTTTATAACGCCAAACGAGGACTATGTGAAAGGTGTTATTGCGTATGTGTTTATTGCTTTTACTATGTGCTTGGAATTAAGTTTGCTTTTGAGTATTATCCAGATTTAGCCATACGGTTCACACTCCCTCTAAGAGGAAAATTCACTCATCCCAGATACGTACGGTATCAAAAAAATTGAGCTCTGGTGGGACTCTTTCTGTATTATTGAGCCCTAGGTGACTTGGTATGGTGGAGTATCTCCCAAAAATTTTCGTAGACATCTGGACGTCGCGAGGAGTACAGCTTTATGTATGGCCTTATAAAGATGTTCATTTAGACCCAGCTGTTTTATGTTCGCTAGGTGATTTTTGGGAATATCACGAGTAACATGAGTATTCAGATTTAGCCATACTGCTCATACTGCCTCTAAGGGGAAAATTCACTCATCCCAAATACCAACGGTATCAAAAGGATTGAGCTCTGGTATGACTTTTTCCATGTTATCGAGTCCTACCTACATAGTGACTTGGTACGTCGGTGTATCTCCTAAAAATTTTCGCACGCATCTGGACGTCGAAAGTAGCACAGCTTTCTGCATGAACTTATATAGATGTTCATTTAGACCCAGCTTTTTTATGTTTTCTAGGAGGTTCTTTGGAATGACTCCAGTGGTAGAAAGAATAATAGGTATCGTCTGGGTACTTTTCATTCTCCATTGTCATCTTATTTGTATTTCCACATCTCTGTACTTGGAGATCTTTTCATTGTACTTAACATGCAGATTATTGTTGTTAGGTATCGCCACATCGATTAGAGTTGTTTGACTTGTTAGTTTATTAACTAGCACGAGATCTGGTCTATTATGTGCTACAGTTTGGTCTGTGAGCACAGTGCGATCCCAGTATAGCTTGTAGTTGTTATTCTCAAGCATACTCTCAGGAACATATTGATAATATGGGAGATGGTTTGTTTGTAGAAATCCCAGTTTAAAAGCTATCTCTTGATGGGGATTTTCCCTATTGAGTCATGCCGTTCCTTATATTCAGTTGAAGCAAATGCCTGGCAGCCTCCGGTAAGATGTTGGATAGTTTCTTGGGCTTGACATCCATATCGGCATTTGTCGTTTTGGACCTGAGGGTCTTTGACGATATATTTCAGGTAATTTTTGGTTGGTATAACCTGATCCTGAATGGCGAGTAATAAACCTTCTGTTTCAGGAAACATCTTTCCTGATGTCAGCCAATAGTTCGACGCTATATTGTCGACATAGTCTTGACTGACTTCATTCGGATGTCGCCCGTGCAGAGGTTTACCCATCCAGATGCGCATTTTTTCGTTTTTAGTAAGATGGTTTATGCGGATTTCTTGTTCCCTCAGGTTGATCGGTGTTGTGTCATCTACTGCGCAAATCGCGCGATGAACAGTAGATGTCTCCGCCTGCACCTGAAAATAAGTTCTTAAATTAGTAATCTGTTTATCTAATTGCTCGCTTATATCAATAAGTCCTCCCTCGTCCTCCTAAATATCGCGGTCATGTCGTTCTTTCTACTGCACTTCGAGGATGGTGTTTTTGCGCCTTTGTGAGGTGTGTTCGTACTTTTCTCTGAAGAGTTTCTATATCCGTTTTAGTCCATTTAATAATCCCAAATGAATAAATAAGCGCGGAAAATGCGTAGGTGTTTAATGCCTTAAACAAATTTTTACTATTAAGATATGAGCGAAGTAGCTGTTTTACTCCAAGATATTTATACATGTCATTTTCGCCCACAGCCTCGATGTTTTGGCCATTTTGCATATCGAACCTATCCCTTGACTATATTTAGTACACGACATTTGTCTAACCCAAAGTGCATACTGATATCATTTGAAAAATGTTCTATAGTTTTTAGCATTTGATCTAAGTAATTTCGAGTGGAAGCCATGAGTTTCAAATCATCCATATACAACAGATGATTAAGCTTCGCCACTACAGTGTTGTTGTTTTTAATGCTGAAACCTGAGTGAGTGGAGTTCAATAGCTGGGATAGTGGGTTCATCGCTAGACAGAACCACAAGGGACTCAGCGAGTCTCCTTGGAATAGGCCGCAGTTAATTGCGATATTTTCCGTTTCGATATTTTTTTTCACCAGGTACTTGGAGGTGAATTTTAGTCTTCCAATCTGTCATTATATGTCTTAAGAAGGTTACTATATTATCATCGACTTTATATATTCTTAATATATCTACCAGCCATTCATGCGGCACTGAGTCAAAGTCTTTCTCATGGTCAATAAAGGCAGTGAAGAGATTCCTTTTTTTTTTTGGTGTATGCCTGGTTAGAAATGACTGAGTCGATAATAAGTTGTTCTTTGCAACCCATGGAGCCCTTAGCGCATCCTTTCTGTTGAGGTTCTATGAGTATTATTATTATTATTATATAATGATATTAAGCCAAAGCAGCGATTATGTGGCCCAAGTTACAAAATATTTGTATGTACTAAACTAAATAATATAATATAAATCACATTTTCTCACAAAGTAAAAATAAAAATAATTTTTAAAAGAATTAGTAATTACAAAAGTTCTGGCAATAGCAAATTACAAAAATACAAATATTACCAAGTGTACATATGTTTTCAAAAGAAAAAAAATACAACCAATATAATTAAGATAAGACTAGGTACAATATTTTGTTCGTTTTCATTAAACTTGATTTTGAAACTATTTAAACTATAGTAAAATTCATTAAGCGGTGCAGGAAAATATAAACATTAAATCGTGTCCGAACCGGTATGAACCGCCGATAACATCGCCAGACGAAATAAAGATGGACATTCGGTTAGTTTTTAAATATTTTTGAAGAACTGTTACTTGCATTTATGCATAAAATATTCATTAATTTTATAAATCGGAGTATTTTTTCACTTACTTTGTATTCATGTGATAACATTAATTTATTTACTATGCAATAAACACGAATATTTGAGAAAAGAAAAAAAAACAATAAAGTGTCATAATTATACTGTTACTTATCGGAACGAGTAGACTCATTTGGAACATCTTTAACAATTATCTGTTAAATTTATCGTTGTTTATATGCCCTGCACCGCTTAATGGAATAAGGTATAGTAGCTTCTACTACGTGTTATGACCTCTTAGTCTACCACCCCCCTCCAAAAATCCCCACTAAGAATTATAAAAGTAGATATGACATCATATCTTTCTCGTCTAAGAGTTAATGGAGACAACTTGAGCTTTCTTAGTCGGGTTTCATAGTCTAATCTTCCATAATTAAAAGGTAGCTACTCTTTGTTTCAAGTTAAGAAAATAACATTACGCTTATGGAGATCAGTGTTGCCAAAACTCTCAGACACTCTCTTTTGCTTAATTTTTGAATTTTAATTTTCAATTAACATTTAACTGTAAAATCAGAATAATTACTAAATAAAAGCCTTATTATCATTATGTAGTCAGAGAACGACATAAAATAGCTGACATACGCACATCGTATTATTTTAAGTTGCAATTAGTAATTAGATAAACGCATTCCAAGCGGTCAATATTTCTACTGATTTCTATGATTCATGGCATATCGTATTCTCACCGAAAAAACAAATAAACTGTCGCTACTATAATTAAAATAAGGTAAAATAAAATTATCTTTTGTAAATACTATTTATCTAATTAAATCATTTTCTCTACTTTTCATCTTTTGTTTCGAATGGGCACTTTTGGTCAATTACGTTAAAAAACATTAATTTATTTCGTGTTTGTGTGTTATTTTCTAAACGTGGAACGTAGTATAG